GCCAAGGGGAAATTCGACCACGGGCATTTTCAGAAGAGATAACTTTCTTCTATACCAAGAAAACCTGAGTTTGAGCTCTGGTTCCCGGGAAGCCAGAAGCCGCCTACCCTGCCGCAGACCCTCCCCCACCGCCTCTTCCTTCCTCTTTTTCTTCCTCTCCAGTCTCCATCTGCACCGCGTAAAAAAGGGGGAAGAACGCAGCCAAACCAGCGCCCTTCTCTGCCTCTTGTGAACTTTGGGGAAATTCCTCTTTTTAAAAAGGTTCTAACCCATGAACGCTCTGCCCAGACCCAGTTCCATAACGGTTATAGGTCCAGGTTCCAGAGATTTCCGGAGTCCAAGAGAGGAGACCCAAGCGCTGGGAACCACGAGCCTGACTGGCTTTGGGTCATGTGCGCCCCATGGCTTACCCGGCTGTTGAGTCAGCTGTCCTCAGACCACAGAAAGGTCAGGCCTGTCTGCCAAAGTGAAAGTGCTGAATTATATTGAAACTGTCAGGAAAAATAAAATAAAATAAAATAAACCAACCCCACCCCAGATCTCTAAGTATCGTCTCCGAATGGCGTGTTTTTATCTAGAATTACCGTAAAGTCATTTCAGAATGGTTGAGGACTGCGGTATTCTGAGCAATTTACTCTTCCACTTAATTGCAACTTAACCACACTTACTCCCTGGCCTTCCTCCTTGACCTTGTCTTGCCTCCCCTCGAGGGTCTCCTACAGCCCCTCCCATCTGCAAGCCTGAACACAAATGTTTCCCAGCAAGGCACAATGTGAGGGGCCTGGAATACAAGACTGGATGGGAGAATTCTAGTCACCCAGTCATAAACTTTACCAGAGAAGACAGGCACGCCCTGGGTTTCTAGGTCCCCCTAGGGAGCTTCTGCCCCAACTGTGTACTGGGAATAGGGCAGCCAGGTCTATGTTCAGATTCAGCCTCTCCCATGGCCTGCAATTAGCTCCAGGGTCTCTGGTACATTATGACCATGTCCATAAGGCATGGAAACTAATTCCTGCTCACAAGACTGTAGGCAAGACTGGAGCTCACACATGTACAGTTTGAGGAAGGGCAGGAAGTCAGAAGCCTTGACACCTTTCTTGTGCTCCCCGACCCTAACAACATACACACATACATACATCTTGCCCAAGGATCCCGGCCACATCCAGTCTGTCTTCCTCCCTCTCGGATGGCATCTTTAACTGCCTGCCCCAAGCCCATCTCCTTTTCTGGAGGAGGAGATTCTCATCCATCTGCAGGTCAGAGCTCAGCAGCTGCCCCTGTTGTGCCCTGTGGCATTGTTTAATGTCCTGGATGGCTCCCAGTTATTGCATGACACTTGGGAATGCCAGCTGGTGCCAGCACTCGTCTTGACTGGCCCCATCAGGTACTGTCCTCTGACCACTGTGCCTTGGGGCCCTGGCCTCCTCCCCCAGGCCTCTGCAGCCAGAGCATCCCTGGATCACTCCCCAGCCGTAGTGAGCCTGATGGCTTCTGTCACTTCTCTCCCAACCCTTTCCTTACCGTCGACCGCAGCTTCCTACTCTTATTCCTGGACCTTTTGTGTTCCAGGCCCACCTCCAAGGATAGCTAAGTTTCAAAGGACCAAAACTCAAAAACCATACCTATGACTTAACTATATTATAGAATTGCTTTTTGTGTCTCAAGTGTCTCAAGACTTCACAGGGCCTTCGGATCTGCTTCCTACACGCCGAACCTTATGGAAGGTAGAGTTAGGAGACTGACTGACCTCGGTGGCGCTGATCCCAGGGTATCCCGAACACCCCATAAGCTGGATAACCCCGATTTTCTTTCCAGTAAAGGGAAGGCTTACACTTAGCCCTGTGAAGCTTCAACAAGGGCTAGCTAGCAACTTTGTGCAAGTTCAAGGGTTTGTCATTTCAAACCTCGTGGTAATGGTTTGACATTTCCGTGAAAACAGCTTGCTTGGGCTTAGCGTTTCCACTGGAAGCAGACTGCCATTCCACGCTACAGATGTCTGCGGTCCTGATCCCCTCAGAGCCTTTTCTTTTCGAGTCCTTAGGGTGCCTTGGCTGGTCTTGAACACACAGAGAGCCACTTCACCTGCCCTCTGCCTTCTGAGGGCGAGAACTAAAGGCACACACCACCCTTATACCTGGCACTCCCCCATAGACTTTTTACATTTTTTAAAATTTTATTATTAGTACTTTTGGGGGCATGTTTTGACACGGGATCTGACTACGCATCTCTGACTGCCCTGGAACTCACTATGTAGACTTGGCTAGCCTTAAACTCCACAGAGATCCACCTGCCTTTGCCTCCTCCCTCCTCCAACCCAAGTGCTGGGATTAAAGGCTTTTACCACCCAGTGGACTTCAAACTCTCTAGCCAGGCACTGCATCTGGTTCCTGCAAGGATCAACCCCAGCCTAGTGCTTGACCAAAGCAAGCCACAGAATTCATGATATCCATCGAATAAGCTACCCGATAACCATAAGTGACCTTCTGTAATCTCGGATGCCTCTGAGGGAGGAATGATGGCGACATGGCAAGAGCTACATTCAGTAGGAAGACCCGTTTCCTCCCCTCCTTACTTTAGCCATTACTCTTAAGACAGCGTGAAGAGACGCCGGCAAATGCAGGGCAGTCAGTAAAGCCCAAGGAGCTTCTGGAAACTTCGGGAGGCTTCCCTATTTTATGAGTTGAATTAACTAGGATATGGCCAAGCAGAAGGACCAACAAGCCATCAAGATCCCAACCCCCACTGCTTGATCCTCTCTCATTATCTTTCCGCCTGTGCCTCCAAGAGGCCCAGGCAAGTGTAGCACTGGTTTCTCGAGACCATTTGAGATGAATGAGAGAGTTATTCTGTTGATCATTCATCCCTTCTTCAAGCATTCATTAATCCAAATACCATGTCTCACGTGCACTTGATGCTGAAGAGGCAAAAACTCAGGCCGTTGAAGAACTCTGAAATTCCAGAGAAACAACGAAGGAAGTAGATGATGATGACAACCCAGTGTGCCAGGACACAGGAAGTCAGCGACTGAGAATGCGCAGGGCAGACGGCGATGAGTCTGCAGGGTGACAGGGACCCTGGGAAGGGTTTATCTTCTTGGGTGGCAAGCCAGGAGAGTGAGCGATTGCAAGGACAAAGACAGCTGCACACTTATCAAAGGATGGCGGGGGCTCGGGGGCATCTGGCGGGGCTCTGGGCATGGCTTTCACCATGTCAGATTCAGTGCCTGGAAAGAGAGGCGGGAGACGGTGTGAAGCCTTTCTCCTGTCGTAGAGCAGGGGAAGCCAGGGTCCGGATGTGAAAGGTTGCAGAGCCTTCTCGGCCCTTTGATGAGGCAGTCAGACCTGGTCCTGGACACTTCGGATGCACAGCGGTAAGGAAAGAATAAGCGTCTCACGTGTTCTAGAGACTCTGGGCCCCCGCTGTGTGGGAATCCACATTTGAGCCTTTCTGGCTGAAATAAACTGCCTTCTCCACGTGACCAAAGATGGTGAAGACAAGAAGCTGGAGAGATGGCCCAGTGGTTAAGAGCACTAGCTGCTCTTCCAGGGGACCGGGGTTTGATTCCCAGCACCCACATGACAGCTCACAACTGTCTATAACTCTAGTTCCAGGGCGTATGACACCCTCTTCTCGCTTTCGCAGGCACCAGGCATGCATGTGTCATAAAGACAAACATGTAGGAAAAAATTAGTTAATAGATAGATGATAGATAGATGATAGATAGATAGATAGATAGATAGATAGATGATAGATAGATGATAGATAGATGATAGATAGATAGATGATAGATAGATAGATAGATAGATAGATAGATAATAATCACAGCCATTGCCCCATTAGACATGATAGTGATAGCTCAGAAATCCTTTTAAAAAAAAGACTCCCTTGTGTAGTCTGAATATTTGTGTCCCCGCTGCTTACCCCATCTTCCTAAATTCACAGATTGAAATCCTGACCCCAGAGGTGATACTATTAGGAGCTGACTGAATTATAAGGGAGCAACCTTCTAAATGAGACCCAAAGGAGTGCTACCCCCCACCAAGATAAGACCCAGTAAGAATATACCCCCTGGAGGAGGAGGCAGACACCAACGCTGCCGACGTCTGTTCTTCCTGGACTCTCAGAACCATGAGAAATAAGTTGGTAGTTCTTTAGCCACAGAGTCTGCGTGTTTTTGTAATGCTTGAGGTTGTTTTGTTGTTTGCTTTAGGTAAGATCTTGCTATGTAATCTGCATTGGCTTCCAACTCGTGATCCTCCTGCCTCAACTTTTCAGGGGCACACAGAGACATGTTCTAGCCCGTGGAACTTCACTACAGCAGTTTGGAGTAGTTGAGGCAGCCCCTAACTGCCCTTACAAAGCTTAGCAGGAGGTCCCTTAGGGGCTTTCAGACTCAAAGCCCTCGCCATGGTGACAGCCAGACCCCAGTCTCTTAGCCGTGGCGGCCACCCTCTCCCAGCACTGCTCTTGCCACGCAGACAGACACTCTTGCTTAGCATGGTGGTTGATGTCTGTGTGGCATTACTACAATTTGCAGAAAGTTTCTTGTCTATGGCTTTTTTTTGTTTGTTTTTGACTGGGTTCCTGTAGCCTGCTGGCATTTCTTCCCAAGTGCAGGGACTCGGATGGTGTAGGCCACCATACCCATCTTGCACTCTTAGTTAGACACAAGACTAAGTAAATCATTCCTTATACACACTCATTTTTCTTTTGAATTCATGATGGTTGTGGTCATACAAAGTGCAGTTTTTAATACAAATGCATCTCACAGAACAGACAGCACACAATTCTTTCTAATACTGTCTTGATTTTAATTTTTTGGCATTTACGTTATTTGGTGTGTGTGTGTGTTTATGTGTGTGTGTGTGTGTGTGTGTGTGTGTGCACATGGGCATGTGGGTGCCATGGCGCTTGTGGAGCGATCAGAGGACAACTTTTGCACCATGTGGGCTCCAACTCCAGTTGTCCCCCTGGTTGGTGTGATGGCTCGCACTTGCAATCCCAGCACAGCTGAAGCTGAAGCAGGAGGATCACCGTGGAGTCAGGGTCAGCTTGTGCTACAGTGACTTCTAAGACAGTCGGAACTATGGAATAAGTCTCCCCTCTTCTAAAAAAAAAGAAAAAGAAAAAAGTACTAACAAATTGTCATCTTCTTTACTCAATGAGTGATCTTTCTGTCCCACTTCTTGATTCAATATACTACAAGAGTTAGTTTGCTTAAAAATAGAATATATTATGTATACTAATTCATTTATTGGTCCACGTATCAGCTGCATAATTTCTGAGGCCCCGTACAAAATGAAAACATACGGGGTTCCTTGTTTGAAACACAACATTTTCTAGACAGCACCACTAAACCAGAGACTAAGGCCACCTTCTTGCACATGAGGCCCTACTGGCTACATGGCTCACCTACCCCAAAAGCTGCCTCTGCACCCACCAAATCACCTGCCAGGTCCTGGGAAGACAATAAATAGTCAGGCGAACAGACGTGGTCTGTACACTCCCTCTGCAAGTTACAGGAGAAAATAAGACGAGAACAGTCCGTGGTCTGTACACTCCCTCTGCAAGTTACAGGAGAAAATAAGACGAGAACAGTCAGTCTCTCTGACATTTGATGGGGACCGAGATAGGTCCTGGGTGTCCAGCAGCCACCTTATCTCCGAGGTCAACAGGGACTTGCCTAAGGCAATGACCTAGAAGCTGAGGACTGGGGAATGAGGCAGACCTGGCAGACTGAGTTTAGGAGAGAAAGTACTTTAGGCGCAAGGAAGACAATGCACAGAGGTTGGAGAGGAGCCTGCAGCTGGTGATTCTGAAGAAACCACAAGGATCAAGCCTGGCTGCTGCCCAAAAGAGCCAAGGTAGGGGCAGCTAGGGGAAGACGGGGAGGGAGATTAGGGCCAGCCTTGAAGTAGGAAGGTTGAATTTTATCCTAAAGACAGCTAGAAGCTCTTAATGGGTTTCTTGGCCCCCTCCCAGCTACATAGTGAGCCAGGGTGGGTATCAACAGCTTTATCAGAGGAGGAAAACCAAGCTACCCTTCCTGGTTCCCAATGAAGGATAGAAAAAAAAAAAAAAAACAGCAAAATGGCGTGTGCCATAGCTCAGAGAGGAAGTCCTGCCATGCTGAGCCCGTCAGCCTTGTGGGGGCCATGGACCCTAGCACACTGGAACCATTACTCCATACCCTGAGCGGAAGAACAGGAAAACACTAGAGAGGCAAGTCCTCGTGCCACTGCTAAGATCATAGGTACAGCATCTGCAACAGGGCATCCCACACATGGCAGCAGATAGCTGTTCTCCAGGAAGCCCGTAGAGCCTGTTCTGCACCATCATGCCTACCAGGAGCCCCGTGTTTGCAGCTTGCTCTTCCTATCAGATAACCGGTGGTCTGAGGATTAGAACCAGGTCTTATTTGCTTTTTAATTCTAGTTCCTCACAAGTGGTTTGAATACTGTTCTCCAAAGCTTGTGCTGTAGAAAATCTTGAAATTCATCTGCTAGTGACATTTGGGGAGCGAGGCTCTTGGGAAGAAACTGGGCTTATATAAAATCATAGGGGTGGGGCCTCTGTATTGGGATTAATGGATTTATAAGAAGATGAAGAGTCCCGTGCATCCTAGCTTCTGGTATGTGCTTCTGTTGGGACAACAAGAAAGACCTCTCCGGATGCATGCAGCCTTCAGCCTTGGGCTGCTCACCCCCACTGAAAGACTACACTTCCCAGCTTCCCTTGCAGACTAGGAACGTCTTTCTCGTTCCTGTAAGGGCCACAGCCTGTTTATTTCCTCTGTAGGCAATTTGACTTTCCACATATTTGAGTGAAGAAGATACCCTCTCGTCGTGAATAAACATGGTCCCACCTAAGGTCAGACCAAGTCTCTCTTTCTTTCTGCCTACCATCTCCCCACAGCTGCCTTTTAATAATCTAATAACTGCGAGAATTAAATTTCACTTCTGAGTTGCCTGGTCTGGGCTAGTCTGTCACACAGTAGAAAACTAAGCCCTCATAAATGTTCTGGTAAATTTAATAAATTATCCCACCTAGAGTTGTACCCAGGATACACTACACATGGCCGTCTGTGGAAGGGAGGCTTAATTTACAGCAACCACAGAAAATTTCTATAAAGACAAAATGTTTGACTTCAATGCGGTTGGCCCTAAAATATATTTTTAAAGTCCATTGCTTTTTCTAACTTGAGATTTTGCTGGAAATGATCAAAGCCACTGTCCGATTGATTATAATATGCTTCACAAACAGGACTGTGTGTTTCGGTTTTCATCTCCCACGGGGCGTGGCATACGGCAAGTGATTCATTATTCCGTGACTGTATAGGCCACACCTACATACACACCAACTTGTGCATATTTCTGTGTTTACAGGCACAGATTCGGTAGTTTGTTTAAGTGTTCAATAGAAGTACAGACAGAACACACAGCACAGTGTATACTATGCATATCAAGGTGAATGGGTGTGTAGTCATCAGACATCCAAACCCTCAAAGGCGGCTGATGATGACTCTCTGGAAAAGCTCACAGAGAACAGCACATCTGAAGGAAATGGCACAAACTGCTACCTATCTCCAAGCCAGAAAGAAAAGGGAAACGGTTTAGATAAAACGTTGTAACTATAAAGTTAATTCAGAGAGAAAACATACCAGAAGTGATTCTCAAGGGGTTTGGCTCCATGGTCTCTATCTGACTCTGCCTTTCTTCCTCCCAGCATTCTGTTTAGTTCCCTCCCCCTCCCCAGCTCTGTTTCCCTACAGCTCTGCTATTGGCCCAAAGCAGTTCCTTTATTAACCAATGAAAGAAACACATAGACAGAAGGACCTCCTATACCACAGAAGGACTACGCGACCCCAACAGTATTACTTGGGAGCCAGTGAAGGCTATGCAGAGAGCCACTGTAACTGGAGACCCAGCCACAGAAAAGAGAGAACCCCCTAGACCTCACTGGGATTTTCCTCAGCACCGTTGAAGGTCAGCGCTTGCACTTAGCAGAAGCAAGTGCCATTTTCCCAATGGCCACAGATGGTCTAAAATTCAAACTCCCTTTCAAGTCCTTTCTACTTCTTCTTTGTCCCTGAGGACCCCAGATTCTTCCTGCTGTCCCTTCCAACCTGGTAACTTCGTCTGTGCTTCCATTCCCATGATTTCCTCCAGGCACACTGCAGATGCAAATTGTGAAAGCAGGAGTGAGCCAACTGGGCCGACTACACAACCCCGGAGTCTCCATTTGTGAGTGTGGATGGATCTGTGGATTGCGTTGTAGGGTGCTCTTATCCTGTCTTCTTTCCCTGCCCTTGACGGTCAGCTTGCTTTCATTTTCACTGTCACAGTAAATAACAGCACAGTAAACACATCCTCAGCGGTAAAACTCTCTGGCTGAATCATTTCATTTCTTTTGATTTATTTGTTTGACTTCTGCACATGAAATTCTTACTGGACAGTGTGGTGACTAGATCTTAATCAAGGTCCTCCAAGAACCTACCTCATCCGTCTCCTTTCCCCTCATCCTCTGTGGAAGAGAGCTGGAAACAAGAGCTCTGGCAAGAGGCAAGACTCTTGACTGCTCCATCCTCTAGTGGGCCCCTCTCAGCCCATGAGCTGTCTCCATCCTGAGTGCAGGCCTTTGAGCTCCTTCCCCCCCACCCTGCCTTTATCTTTTCTCATTATCCTCAGAAACAAAGACACGGGTCATTTTGGTTTAAAGGATTTCCTACTATTCAGACAAGATAGAAAGTACAGGGACTTCTGAAAGTTCAGCGTTGACAGCGTCTAGAGGGCTGGGCCCAGTTCCCCAACTCCTGGGTGGGGCAGCAGAGGGGCAGTATGGCCAGTGTTTGAAGCAGGCAATTGTGGGGCATGTGTCTCTCTGGACAACCACAGCTCACTAGGGTGCCATTGAGGAGGCTTCAGGGATCCCACAGATATAGACCTTCATCTTATCACTGGAAAGTAGGAGTCACAGTGATATTGTTCACGCTTGGAGACTGAGACGAGAGAATTGTGATTTCAAGGTCAAAATGGGTTATGTAGTGAATTCCACACCCGCTTTGGCTATCAGACCAGACAAACAAAACCTTGTTAGAAAAGAGAAACAAGCCAGGCAGTGGTGGTACATGACTGTAATCCCAGCACTTGATTAGGGTTAGGAAGCAGAAGCAGGCAAATCTCTGAGTTTGAAGTCAGTCTGGTCTACATAGTGAGTTCCAGGTCAGCCAACACTGCGCAGGGCGGGAGGGGGAGAAGAAAGAAAAGAGGAACAGATTTATCTGATATTGAGTCCCACAACCATTGACCAATCCCATCCAGCCTTTGAGACAGGACAGGGTCACAAACAGCGCTGAAGAGCCACAGCAGGGGACCCTAAACAGAGCAGTACCTGAGCAGAAAAGGAGGTAGAAGAGTCAGGAACTAGAACACTGGATCACTAGATCATCTGACACACGCTAAAGAGCCTTCTACAACTGAGTAAGTCCAAATAGGATAAAAAGAACCGTAGGCAGGCAACAAGGACCCACGGCAGCTAACCTGAGAAACAAACCAGCCTGCCGCAGCCATTGGCTCAGAGAGGCCCCAATCAAAGCAAAGGTCAAGACACTTTCAGTTATCTCTCCCATAGGAACAGTCCTGTGGGGAACTAGACTGCTGTGGTGGCCCCTGCGTGGCAATCGAGCTGATATAGAACCCTGGTCAAGCCAACCCTGAAATCACAGGCCTCCGTGATTGTATTGTATTGTGCTGGTTTTCTCTATGGCTGGGGTGTAGAGCCCTATGGCATTCGTTCTATGAAGATCTTAGCTGATGAGCTAGTTCAGAGAATTTCTATCTAACAGAGAGGAATGTCTCAAAAGTCCCCTCTTTCATAACCTGTGCAGACTGAGCATAGGTTGCTGTGTCTGCCAATGCTGTAGCAGGAGCAGGGAGGGAGGGTGAGGGGAACTCAGCTGTCGAGTACTGCATGATCAAGTCATCAAAGCTTTGCCATTGTCAGCTTCCTTATTTATAAAAGGAGAATGCTAGAAAGGATAAGTCATTTTTTAAACCTCATTTTGAGTAGGCGAGTGGCTTTTAAACTTCACTTGACAGCACCGATCTTCTTCGTCTTTTTGTTAGAAGAGCAATGAGCTCAAAAGAGAGGCCAGATGAAGGTAGGGACGCTCAGCTTCGATGAGGTGGGGGCCACAACATCACTTAGGCTTGCTACGTCCTCCCATGGCGATCTTAAAGCACCTCCAGGGAGACTGGAGGTGTCTGGAAAGAGACTGAGATTCTTGGTTAGAGGTTCCCTTCCAGCTCAGATTTTAGGAAGAGTTAGTGCTGTATGTAAGGTCCTTGCTCCAAAGTGCCCTCAGCTACAGGTCAGAGACAGCATGCTGGAATTAATCTGTAAAGTTATCCATGATAGCTGCTTTTCATGGTGCTGGAAGGTGCTACACAGCCTGCTGAAGGAATGAAAAAGGCGTTAGTAGTCTTATCCAATGGTAAATCCTGAATGCAGCAATACCTAAGAGGCCACAGGTACAACAGAGGCATGCAGGTTATAGAGGTAACCAGCCACTGTCTGATTGGATCTGAGGCTTGCTCCACAAGAGAGAGTTCATGCAGGGACTATAAACCTGGCGAGAAGCCCATGACTCTCTGGAGGTCATGAGCCCTAGGAAGGAACCTATTTCTCTTGTTTTGATAAATGGACATATTGTCAAACTGCCGTCTAAATATTTATATTTCTACCCACAGATTAAGATGGCTCCACCCGGGGCCAGAAGAGGTTTTTTCTGCAGTGGGCAGAAATTAATACAGAGATTCATAACTGGTCAAAGAGCTGAGAAAATGCTCAGCCCTAAATGGGACAGCCATACCAACTGCACACACACACACACACACACACACACACACACACACACACACACTCCACATGGGTCTCAGGGAACTTCAGGGAAAAGGAAGGAGAAAGAAAGGAAGGGCTGGAGCCTGAGGAAGAATGCTGTGAAATGCTGTCCTCTGAGCATGTCAAGGCTGTGGCACAAATGAACTCACTGTGGCTATGGTCATCTACACAAAACCTACACAAGGTCAAGCCAGCAAGGTCAGTCAACATTCCAATGGGAAGCACTCACCAACTTGCCTAGTGTGTGTGTGTAGGGAACCAGGTGGAGGAGAGCCAAGGAAAAGGAAGTGAGATGGGACATAAAGAATTTTTAACATCAGAACATTACCTTGGACTTCAGAACGTGTGGAACAAGGTTCTTTTCTTGGAATATTTTTAAAGTTATGTATAGCTCCTGATAACCAAATTTCAGTATTTCTAGGATATGCAGCAAAGATCATACTATTTGGCAATTTCCATGATGTGGGATTCCCCTCGGTATGTTATAAATATGTTTTATTACCATTGTTTAATGAAAAAAGCCACTTCGGCCTATAGCAGGGCAGAATATAGTCAGGCTGGAAGAGATGTAGAGAGAGTAGGCAGGGTCAAGGAGCTGCCACAAAGCTGCCAGAGGAGAAAGACACCAGGGAACCTTACGGGTAACCACCAGACTTATGGGAAAATACAAAATAATGGAAATGGATTAACTTAAAATATAAGAGCTAGCTAGCCATATGCTTGCATGATTCACCAAGCAGTGTCATAATTAATATAGCTTCTGTGTGATTATTTCAGGTCTGGGTGGCTGGGAACAACAAGCAGTCTCTGCCTATGGTTCCAGGCCTCACATCTACCAAAGTTAGTCCTAGAAGGCAGAAGTACATTTAGGAAGAAAAGTCTGAAGCCCATATATCTCTGAAATTTTCTGTGAGTTACTCTCCTATTGCTATGAAAAAAAAAATACCATGACCAAAATGCTAATAGGAGAAAGCATTTAATTAGGGTCTGGCCTACAGCTTCACAGGGTAAGTCCACAACCATCATGGTGAGAAGTATGGTGGCAGGTAGACAGGTATGGTGCTGGAGTATTAGCCAAGAGCTTATATGATCTGCAGGCAGAAGGCAGAGAGAGGGAGGGAGGAAGGGAGGAAGGGAGGCAGGGAGAAAGAGAGGGGGAGGGAGAGAGAGAGAAAAAAAAATAAAGACTGGGCCTAGGCCTGGGCTTGGCATGGGCTTTTGAAACTTCAGAGCCTCCTCCAACAAGGAGGAGGGGGTGCTTTGCGGTAGAGGGGGTGGGACCCTATCAGAAGCCCACTCCATAACAATGTCATTAATTACTTTGTGCTGGAGGACATGCTTGGTGAGCTAACTGACTCTCAACCTTTGTTTCTGCCCCCTGAACCTGGTAGCGGGTGAGGGGGGCACATTCAGACACAACAGGGGGCCTTTTACATCAGCATTTACAGTTAATGTGACGTTCACATCTGTGGTCCTATAGCGCTTTGGCTGTCTCTAGTCTTCTGCTGGCCAGACCTGAGCCTGGTTCTTCCATCCTCTCTCCGCTCTGACACTTCTCAGCTGCCCCGAATCTGTGGCTCACGGTGATAGTTTCCCAACCTGGGACTAACAGAAGGCGAAGCCTAAAAACCAGGGAACAAGGGGCCAATTAGAAGAGAGGGCACCCAGGCCCAGATGTGGGCACCCCAGAAAGGGGCTCTTCCTTGGGAAGGTGGAGAAGCTCGCTGAAAACCCTTGAAATTGCCCTTGGGAGACTGTCTTCAAAGACCAGCTGAGCAGTTTC